GCCGGTCACCAAACCAACACCCTAAGACCACCTGACCACCCTCGATCCAAATCTGGTAACCGTTTAGCTCGAATCTTCCTAGAACTTCTCGAATCTTCATTTGAAGATTCGAGCCAAACTCAGATCCAAACCAACCAATCCCTAATTAACACCACAGCACCCCCTAACCACCCTCGTTACAGATCTGTTGGTTGTTCACCTCGAATCACCCTACAGCTTCTCGAATCTTCAATCGAAGATTCGAGCAAAACCTAAACCTACCCCAACCTACCCCAAATTCGTACCAGATGACCCCCAGACCTCCCTCACCCTTGAACCACCACTGGTTCCCTTAGAATCTGCCTAGAAATGTTCAAACCCTAAATCCGAAAAAAACAGAACCCTAAAATTCCAAAGCTTGGGGTCTGTCCGATTAAAGGAAGGGTTGGGGTCTAATAGACCTTAATCGAGGTATTCTCAGTTGAGAATACTTCGATTAAAGTTTGTTCGACCTCAAAAATGTCCAAATTCGAGTTCGAGCCTGGGTCCGTATAGTTTTGAGGTTTTGAGGTATTTTTCTTTTTTCTTTATTCTGTATTTATGATTTTTCTATCTATGTATCTGTTTAGTTTAGTTTTATTGATTTTTTCCATGCTTTTTCAATTCATCTTCGCATCTCCAATAGACCTTTTATTTGGTCGAATTCTTCTGATCATTGATTAAGTATATGTTGTGAACTGTATAGTATAAGTGATTAATTTTATCAATTAGTTGGTTGTATTACAACTCACTGTTTCTGTCAAATAATACTCGAATCACATATGTTTGTTTTTCTGATTAATTGTCGATAATTTCTCGAAAAATTAGAGAAAAACATGATAGTAATTCTTGGTTGTTTTTCCAGTGGGTTTACCATTTTTCTTTTTGTCTTCTGTGATTAAATGTGTAATGAATTGAACATGTTATTTTCAGTCTTGTTTGTTTTAACCAGATTACTCGTTTATCTCATTGCCCTGATTAATACCATTTCGATTTTCTTCTGTTCTTCTGCCCTAAATCTGTGTCTAAATAGGATTGTGAATTGGATATAGCTGTAGTTATTTAGGTGTTTAACCAAATGAGTTTCAGGTTTGAACTTACAAATGTAACTTCAGACTTGTAAAGTTTAGGGTAATGAAGTGATAACAGTAGGGTTTCAGGGGTGATTTAGGAATGAAACAGTTAGAATAATAGTTTAGTGTTAGTGTTTTGTTAGTGGGATATTAATTAATTTGGTAATGGGGAACCAAAGGGATTGAGGGACTGATTTTGGGAGGAGGGGAGAATTGGAGGGAGATTATTCTGAAAATCTTAAGAGAGGGCTTGAGAGTTGAAAAGAGAAAACAAAAAAGAAAGATACTGTTTCATTGCATCTATAGGAGTAACTCGAATTTTGGACTGTGAATCT